ACACACACACACACACATATATATATAAACACACATACACACACACACTTTGTATTACCTGGTAGATTTGATTAGCAGCAACTAACCCACTGAATGATGAGTGTAAGTTAGCACAAGCACAGACTTTTTGCTTTACAAAATAAGTCATAAGCATTTTATTTAAAACTTCATAGTGTTAAGTCATGATACTTTGTTTCTTGAGATTCCTGTTTATTTTTCTAATCTAGTTAGACATGTGTTAGTTATTATATATATATAAAATATGCAATCTATTTGTTATCTGAAAGTGGCACACAAAACTTTTGAGCATTTAGTTTTCAGTATGAACTTCATAAGGTTTTTCCTTATTACCAGTTTAGTTTGGTTTCTCTGCAGCATTCTTTCCTAAAATGATCACCTATCGCTTCCATTCATCTTTTTTTTTGTGTACCGTTTTATATTCCTTTGGGGCATACCTTTTTTTTTTTTTAATTATCCAGTTTGGCTTTATTAATAGTTGAACAGACAATTGAGAAAAGACTTGTTAACACCAGAAGCAAATTTACTATGAAAGAATTCCAGAGAGTGGAATAATTGCTTTGAGTCAATTAATTTTCTGTTAGGGCATACATTTTTTATATTTTATTGATTTGATATTTTTTAGTGCTGTGGAACACTTTATAGCACATAATGTGCATGCAGTAAGTCTTTTTTTAGTGAATGAATGTTTCTTCTGAATGCCAAATAGAAAACACTGGATTCTTTTTATTCATTGCTCTGTCCCTAGTGTCCTACAAAGTAATTGGCATTCAGTATTGAATAAATAAATGAAAATCAGACATCAGCAGTTGATCACACATTTGTTCCTCTTGAATCTGGGCTCAGTGTTCCAGGATGTGACTACCATTTGATAAATATTTAAAATGATAGAAGCTACTTGTTATTCTGACCTAGGACCAAATTATCTCTGAAGTCCTTTCTCAGTCTTTAACTTCCATGCTTATCATTGAGCTAATCCTATCAATAAAGTCTTTACATTATATCATAAATTAAATAGGATGTTTTTGGCTAGTTTAAGATTTTAGCAGCCTTCTATGATACTTTCTTGTGGAGAAAATTAATATTCAGTTTTTAACTTTTGGAACATTTTCCATGTCTAAGTTGTGGTCTTAATTCTACTTTTAGGTACTACATTTTTAAATATTTTGGTCCTATAAGACTTTTTTTTATTACTTAAAAAAATTAATAGCACAGTACTATGTATATTCAGCTTTTATTATTGATATCTTTATTCTTTTCTTTCAAGTAAGAATTAGGAATTTAGAAACACAAATGTGATATAAATATAAAATGAAAATTAGGTTCTTTTTCCATTCAGCTCTAGCCTTACTATTAAAAAAAGTAAGCTGCATTAAACTAACTTGGTAGCTATTTTTGGTATAACATATTTAAATGGTTGGTGCATAACTTAGAGCCAGACTCATCATGGGATAAAATGCAGACTTAGATTGACATTCAAGGGTCTTTGTAATCTGACCCTCACTAGGGAATGGATGTTGGAATTTTTGCTTCTATAAAGTGGTTTAAAATCAGCTTTTCTGCAGCAAGATATTTCATATACTTAATGAAAAAAATGTTTTTGTTACTTAAAGTTGGATAGTAATAAAAAGACCATGTTATTTTCAGAGCCTGAAGACCTTGGCATTAAACTCTTGGCTCTGCTACTGGGAGTCCCATGATCTTGAGCAAGTGGCTCTGCCCCTACCTTCATTTTGTTCATCTAACATGTGGAGTAATAATATACAAAAGGTGCTTACAGTTAATGAGTTATTCTTCTTGGATAGGGAGGTAGTTTTGATTTAAGAGCAAGTGCCTAAATCTACTGGTTAAAATTCTGGCTTTGAGTGCTAGTACAATTACTTACTGACTTTATAATGTTATATGGCTCTTTTTTTTCCCATTTCTCATTTTTACTGGACAGAAAATGTTGCTCTTGCTATTATGTTTTAATATTAGGAGTCCTTAGGTTTCTCTTAGGTAAAATGGAGCAAACGCTTTATAAACTCCAAAGCTAGATTTGATTGCCAATTTAATAGAAAGGAATTAATGCATGTTTTTCAGGTGCTTTGGGAAAAAGGACACGGTTTCAGGAAAATTATGTGGCGCAGCTTATTCTAGATGTCAGACAGGAAGGTGATGTTTATCCATATCGTGAATTCAGTCCAACACCCACTCCTCAAGAACATTTAATTAAGGTAAGTAGGATAAGAAATTGTTTCATCAAATTAACAGCTGCTCCTATCACTTTCAGTAATTGAGTACTGGAGAAGCATGGGATGAAGTAGGAAGAGACTTAATTTTTTCCTCTTGAAATTTTTTAAGATGACCAAGACAGGTTTTTTTAAAAAACCGTGTTTTAAAAAACTTAAGTAGAAATAACATGTTGCTTATGAACAAGCAGTTATATTTTACTGTCCTTGAAAAAAATGCACTAGGAGTACTGAGGAGAAACTTAAGTTGTTGGGTGTTTTTGTTTTTTTTGTTTGTTTGTTTTGTTTTTTCTGGAAAACATTTTATTTGATACAGTAAGAAAGGCTTTTTTCTCTTTTCCAATGGTTTTTACCTTTTGTTGTATATTATATTTATATGGGGAAGAAACTTAAGTTTTTTGTTTTCTGTTTACTCCCTTACTTTTGCATTTCATAGCAAAATACTTAAGAGATTTGAAATTTCTTAAGCTTCTTCTAAATTGACAGATTATTAAAATTCCTTGTATTATATTTGTGATCTGTTTTTTGTTACTCTGTTATTAATGGGTTAGATGGTGCTTTAGAATGTTTGTCTTGACCTGTCTGATAAATTTCCTTCTTGTAGCCTGAATTTATGGCTCTTGGTCAGATTAGCTTCTTCTATAGAGGCCCTTAGCATTTATATTCTCTAACCTTCTGACTTCATACCAACATTTTTGGTTGAATTTACTGTCCTTGAAGCCCATGTGTTTCTACTCTTCATTCCAGGGTCTACAAGCATATTTACCCCAGGCTCACTGAACACTAACATTCTTTTCTGTTTTGAGAGTAATTCCAAGAGTAGGGGTTAGGATGGGTGGGGGAGAAGAGTGTCAGCAGTCTCAAGGGAACATTTTGTTGATAGATAGTAAATCTCCCAGGCTTCCTCCTCCTACTCTCTTGTTTGCTTCTATGATAACTTTACTGAGAAACATCTGTTGATTCTCAGAGGAGAATGAAGGAAAAGATAGAAGCTCATATCAGCCTCCATGGTGTGCAGTTTGAGTGAAGAGGCAGAGCCATAGTGCAGTGAACAGTGGTGCTGCTGGTGGCCAGGGAACCGAGCCGATAGTTGCTTTCCTCCTTTCTTCCTCCTTGTATATACTGAGCCTTCTGCCTAACGGTTTTGAGAACTTTTTTAGAGTGGAAAGCTACATAACAAAATGTACACCTATTCAATAATTTCAGCATGTGCAGATTAGTGTCAGTGATTCTATTCTAAGTTGTGCAACCATTCTTGCCATGTTTTTCCACACCATTCCACCACTGTAATCCCATCACTGTCAGCTGCAGTATTCCATGTGCAAACCCTCCCCTTTTTCCATCCTTCTAACCCTGATAGCCACTAATCTTCTTTGATTTCTATATATTTGCTCTTTTTATACAAGTCAGATCTTAAAATATTTAAACATATGTGACTGAGTTCTTTCTCTCAGCCCAGTATTTTCAAGGTTTATTTATTTTGTTGCATGCATCAATCTTAATTTTTTTTTTTATGGTTGGGTAATACTTTATTATTGCAGTTTATAAATTAGCCGTTTAAATAGTTTTCTCTTTTTTACCATTTTGAAAAGTGTGTTACAATGAACATTGGTGCATATATCCTTCAGCTTTTTTATGTAACTCAAACATCCTGTCATAAAGCTTAAAGGAGATTTAATTTTAGAATCTGAGAGTTTTATTCAGTAATTGATAGTTGTTTCTTATTGTTTTTAAATGTAGAGCTCTACCATTGTAATTAATCTTCTGGAATGATAAATATGAGATGCGCAATTAAGAGAAATACATAAAAATTATTATAAGACAGAATTTATTTAACCTTTATGAATTTGAAATAAAATATAGTCAAATAATATCTTTATTAGTTACTGTGAAAAGCTCAAAATAACAAATTATGTGGTGTTTATATGGATTAGCTTGATGCATAACTTTGTTCATATAGTTAAGAGATAAAATTGCTTAGTTTATTATATATTTTATTGTCTCAAAGACACGTTCGTTTATAAAATACTATTTAATAATAGTTCATTAGAGGGAGGAAAATATGCCAATTATAGTAATAATATATCCTGTTCAGAAATGTTACAATATAAATATATTTATCTTATAATTGGAGAATAACAGTCAACATTATGATAGATGGAGAAAGATTTGAAGCTGTCAATGATGTCATCTTGTTTGTGTTGGTAATCAACACCCTTGGTTCCAGCAATCAGTAAGTCAAGAGATGTATTGCATTGGGCAGGTCTGCTCTCAGGGACCTCTCCAAAATGATGAAGAGCAATGATTTAATCAAGACTAAGGAATACCTGATTCAGGTCAGGAAATTTTCAATCACCTGCCATGCGTCAGAGAGCAGGACACCGAATGAGGATGGCAGAAGATGAAGAATTGATACATTTGAGTTGTGGTACTGAAGAAGAGACCTGAAATAATTCTCCCATGGACTATCAAAAGACCAAACAGATATGTCTTGGACAAAAATGCAACCTGAGTGCTTTTTGGAAACTAAGATAGTGAATTTAGTCTTTTTTACTTTGTACATGTAGCTAGGTGAGGCTGTTCCTTGGAAAGGGACATCATGTTTGGAAAGATGGAGTCCAGTGAGAGGAAGACTCCAAATGAGATAGATTGACACCGTAACTTCAACAGTGAGCCCTAGTGTGTCAGAAATGATAAGGATGGTACAGAATAAGACAGGGTTCAGGCCGGCTGTTCTTAGGGTCGCTATGAGCCATACTCGACAGCACCTAACAACAGTAGCTATAATTTTATTATTGTGGAATATACTATTTCCCTTTAGACTTTTCTAGCTGTTACTTCTTATTAATGGAAAATTAGACAAAAGCCAACAATTATGATCAACTAGAATGTGCCAATGAAAGGCATAGTTTCTGTTCTTTATTGTTAAAAGGAGAGGACTCAAAATAGTGTATGTTCACGGGAAACAGACACAGTACACAATCAACCTTAGTGCTCATTTGCATTAAATGTTGAATAATGTATGTGCCCCATATTGCTGATAAATTGTTGACTTCTTGAATCCAGAGAATGTTAGGAGAATCAACTGGGACACCGGTGAAACAATATTTTAAATTGAGGGCTTCTGTAACAATTAGGTGTAGAGGAATTGCCCAGACTGTTGTAATTTCAAAAGTTGCTGAACAGGAGCAAAGATCACATTTTTGATTCTTTTTGCTAACAATGGCTTGTCTCAGTTCTAAGCAAGAAGGTTTTGATCACATTGTTACTGTCTAATTTAGGCAAAAACCTGGGAAAGTGATATACTCTTAGTCTCTTTGGTTTTTTTCACATCTTGCTTTTATTTATAGGCTGTCTTAAAAACACTCTCAAGGGTATTATTAAGTAATGGTTTTTAAATACCTAGTTTAATATTAGATGAACATTAAAAGGTGTGAGGTCTAGAGCAGCACTGCCCAGCATGGCAGCCACCAGTCACAGGTGATTTCTAGCTTCTTGAAATGTGATTCATCTAAATTGAGCGGTATGATAAGGGAAAATCTATAACAGATGTAACTGGTCTAAACTGAGACGTACGGTAAGGGGAAATTACAAAATGGATTTTGAAAACGTCATTCAAAACAAAAATTTGTTTTGTATCAATTTATATATATATATATGGTAAAATATAACTGGTGGCCTAGTGGTAAGAAGCTGTGCTGTAATCCTGAAGGCACATGGTTCTAATTCATGAGATGCTGCATAGGAGGACGATGGACAGTCTTCTCATAAACGATCAACTGCCTCTGAAAACCCTCCAGGGGGTCAGCTATGGGTTGGTTCCAACTGATGGTATACAGCAACATATGGTAAAGTTGTATAAATTAGCTTAAAGATATTGTTATACAAGCCCTCAATTTAAAATACTGGTCCACCAGAGTCCCAGTTGATTCTCCTAACATTCTCTGGATTCAAGAAGTGAACAATTTACCAGCAATATGGGGCACTTACATTATTCAACATTTAATGCAAATTAGCACTAACTTTGATCGTGTACTGGGTCTGTTTTCCATGAACGTACAATATTTCATGTCCTCTCCTTATTTCCTGACTGCTCATACCAAGGGTGTTAATTGTGGATCTAAGCAAGATGAAGCTGTTGACAGTTTCAATCTTCTCTCTGTCCATCATGACACTGCCTATTGGTTCAGTGGTAAGAAGCTTTATGTTCTTAATAGTGAGATGTACTCCATGCTGAAGGCTGCTTTCCTTGATCTTCTGCAACAAGTTACTAAATTTAATTTTATTGCAGTTTTAAACCTCTCTTAATGTAGCTTTAGAAGAAATTATTTATGTAGTAGCTCCATTTTCAAAATACTGAGAGACCGATGGTGAAATGAATGGCCACCAGAATTTGCTTTGTAGCTCCTTTTACTGATGAATAATACTCTGTTTTCATGCCTGTTCACCTTGCTTTGTATTCATCCTAGAGAATGAGTATTCTCTCAAGTACTCTATCTTTAAAGATTTTATTATAGTTTTGAAATTGTTTTGGCTATTCTAAATCCTTTGACTATCCAGAATCAACTTGTCAATTTGATATCTTTGTTGCTACAAATTACTTGTAACACATTTCACAGTTCACTTGTCTATACTGGTGAGACACAACAGTTGAAGAGTTGATAATGGTATTAAATTATTACTTGTTTTTAGGTTATGATCTGGAAGCAGAGTAGGAAGATAACATTTTTTCATTCAGATACTACCATGTACTATAAATGATTATCTTCTTCTGATCTTTGATTTCAAATTTGATTATCTATTAATGAGGAGGGAAATCTCAGTTATCTATGTGAGACTGAATAAGAAAATGTTCTTAAAGTTTTGAGGAATTTTTTCCTAGGCTCAGTCAATAACAGTTGTTTCTCCATAATATCATTGGTATATTTCTGAAATGTGGACAACATTACTTACTTTTCTACAACATTACTCTCTCATTATCAGCCTAATACCTGTATGGACATAGTTTGATCTTAAGCAAGAAGTCGAGTTACCCTTTTCTAGCCATCTGCTTGTAGTGCTCTGCTGAAGGAATGATATTTAATGTTTGGTCCTGTTTTTTTTTCGTTTGTGTTCCATCAGAATCTTGAGCTCAATGATGACACTGTTCTGAATGAGATACAGCTGGCAGATCGTGAGCAGTTTCAGATGCCTGACCTGTGTGCTGAAGAGCTTGCTGTTATCCTTGGTGTTTGGTAAGCTCTTGACGTATTTGTCTACTCTGACAACCTAGACTGCTTTCTTGTGCTGGGCGAAAACCTTTAGTCAGGGAGGTCTCAAAACGATAATATGCCTCCAGGAATCAAGGGAATGCTTATGAAAAGTGAGACTGAATAGTTGAGAAGCAGTTAAGGGGTTAGATAGGAGGAATCTCTTGTTGATACAGTGTTTTTTTTTTTTTTCATAAGCAAAATTTCATTGGTTGCTCTTAGCTAGGAATAGATTTTTAATAAAATTTAAAGGTAAATAAAAGTGACTGTTTTGATTTTAGAGGATTTTTACATTTCAGAGGATAAAATTACTTTTAGTACTACAGACCGTATTTTGTTTGGAAATAGGGTTTTTTTGGGGTTTGTTTTTTGGTTTGAGACAATTTTTTAATATTTTTTTTATTTCAATGAAGGCATATAAATCATACTGGGGTTTTTTTTATACCAGTTTGAAACAGTTTCAAGCTTAGAAAAAGTTTTGATGACAGTTCAAAAAACAGTTGTGTAAGTTTCCAACATGATACCCTGACTGCTGTAGAGTTCATTTCCAACAGACTAGGGTATTTTTTTGTACTTAGGTTGCATCAGCTCTGACTCATAACAACTCTCTGTGTCAGTCCATCTCCTTCCATCGTAACTCGCTGTGTCAGTCCCTCTCTTTCCACTGGAACTTGCTATGTCAGTCCATCTCCTATGACAGTAACTCAGTGTCATGAAGCGGATGCCAACACGTATTGCTTCTCCATTGGGTCTCTGCAGCTGCAGTTCTTTACAGGAGAACTTCTACCTCCTGTAAAGGTAGGAGTAACAAGGTAGGAGGAGCCTATCTTGCTCCCATGGAGCCACTGGTGGATGCAGTCACCTGGGACGTGCAGTTTATTGGTTAGCAGTGATATGCTGCAGCTTACACCACTAGGGCTCCTCCTCCAACAGCTATCAGAATCAGTCCATCAGCATCATGCTTTACTGTCATTTAAATCTCAGACTCCGTTCATGTTTTTCCAGTTCATTCTTTTATGACTATTGATATCTTCTTCTGAGTTTATCTCTAAACGAGGGTGGAAATGCCAAGTGTCTATGTGAGAATGAATAAGAAATTGTACTTAAAATTTTCAGGAACTTTTGCCTAGTTCCAGTTAATAACAATAGTCTTTTATGACAAAAGGATTGAGACAAGAACATGTGTATTAGATGTAATTGTCACATTCTGCTGGGCTCTGTAATCTGAAATGTTACTATTGTTGTTGTTACATACTGTCAACTACAAGTCATAGTAATCCTATGAACAACATATCAGAACCTTACCTTACCCTTTGTGATCCACACAATCTCTGCTGTGTTTGAGCCCATTGTTATAATCAGTGTGTCAGTCCATCTCATTGAGGGTCATCCTCTCTTTCCCTGACGTGCTACCTTTCCCAGTATTGTATCTTTTTTTTCAAAGACTGGCCTTTCCTGATAACATGCTGAAAAGTATATGAGAAAATTTTGACCATTCTTACTTCTAGGAACACCCTGGTTGTACTTTCTCCAAGACAGATTTGTTCTTCTGGCAGATTATAATATATTCCCTACTCTTCACCAACTCCAGAATTCAAAGGCATAGATCCATCTTTGATCTTGCTTTTTCATAAGGAAGATTGTGGATTTTCCGTATTGATTTCTTAACTGTTGCTACCTTAGAAGTTGATTGTGGATTCAAGTAAAAGAAGTCACTAACAACGAAAGGTAGATCTGGTGGCTTAGAGGTAAGAAGCTGTGTTACAATCCTGAGGGCACATAGTTTGAATCCACCAGTAGCTTCATGGGAGAAGGACGGGCAATCTTCTCCAATGTAATTGTTATATACGTCGAGTTGCTTGTGACTCATAGTGACTCTGCGCACAGCAACTTTGAATCCTTTTTTATCTTGAGCCAACCTTGGTGTTCTGACACACTTACCCCCATTATCTGAGTCACTGAGTCAATCCATCTCATCCAAGGTCTTCCTTGCACTGTCCCTCCACCCTTCCAAGCATAACATCCATCTCCAAGAACTGGTCCCTCCTTGCAACATGCCCAGGGTATGTCAGACAGCACTTCAAAATCCTTGCCTCTGAGGAATAGTCTGGTTTCACCCTCTCTGGGAGGAACCTGTTTGTTCTAGCAGTCCATGGTATATTTAATACTCTTCTCGAGCACCACAACTTAAAGGCATTGATTCTTCTTCTGTCATTCTTAGTCATGGTCCAGCTCTCTGATGCATAGCAAGTAATTGTGAATACCATGGCCAGAGTCAAGTGCACCTGAGTTTCTAGACTGATATTATTGTTCTCCAGTACTCTGGAGAGGTCCATGACAGCAGATTTTCCCAATGCAATTTGCCTTTTGAGTTTCTGGCTGCTGGTACCAATAGTGATTCGTGGAGCCAATCAAGCTGAGGCTGTTAACAACCTCAGTCTTTTCACTGTCTATCATGATACTGCCAATTGGCATAGTGGTGAGAATCTTTGTTTTCTTGATGTTGAGTTTAATCTATATTGAAGGATTCAGATCTTGACCTCCAGCAGATGAGGTCCTCTTCAGTTTTGATATGCAAAGTTGTGTCATTTGCTAGATGTGGGTTGTTGATGAGTCTTCCTTCAATCCTGATGCTACATTTCTGCTCATAAAGTCCACTCTTCCAGATGATCTGTTCCACATATAGATTGAAAAGGTATGGAGATAGAATGCATCTGGGTGTAATGTCTACCTTTCCTGATTTTGAACCATGCAGTGTTTCCTTGCTCTGTTCTGATGACTGCTTCCTGGTCCAAGTATAGGTTTAGCATAAGCATAGTCAAGTGTTCTGAGATTCCCATTCTTCTGAGTTTGCTACAGTTTGTTGTGATCCATGCAGTCAAACGCTTTTACGTAGTCAGTTAAACACAGATAGACATTCCTCTGGTGCTGGGTTGGTTCCAACTTTATAGCACACAACAGCAACAACAACAACAACAGTTCATTGTCTAACTTTCAGATGCATATGAAACAAATGAAAATATTATGTCTTGCATCAATCACAGCTTAGTCTTTAAACTTATTATATATTTGTTCTTTGGTACTTGAAAGAGATCTTTGACAACAGATTTGCCTAATGCAATGTATCTTTCCCTCTCCCCTCAGTGTATCTTATGAGTTCTTTATTGTTGCTACCATAGATGTTGATTGCAGATCTAAGTAAAAGATGTTGACAACTTTAGTCTTTTCTCCATCTATGGTGACGTTGTGTATTGATCCAGTGTTGAGAAGTTTTGTTTTTTTAAATGTAGAAATTTTGATCTATTAAAAGCTTTAGTCTTGATCTTCTTTAGTAAGTTTTCTTCAACTTCTCTGTGTAAGGTTTTTCATCAGCATAACATAGTCTGTTGATGAATCTTCCTCCAATTCTAATGGCCACATTCTTCTTCATATAGTCCAGCCTCTTGAATTATTTGCTCACCGTACTGATTGAATATGGTATGGAGAAAAATACAATCCTGAGGCATACCTTTCCTGATTTCTTGACTGCTGCACCACGGATGTTTATTGTCTATCCAGATAAAATGAAATCCATACTAACTTCAGTCTTTTCTTTATGCAACAGAGTTTTGTTTATTGATCCATTTGTGGAGTTTTTTGTTTTATGAGAAGCAAGACTGGCCATCCATTTCTGAAATAACAGGCCCTTGAAAACTTTATGAATTCATGAGGCATTACATTATCCCTCATTAACTTTCAAACAGCTTTAGGGATAATTGTTATTTTTCTTGTTTTCCATCTGGAAAACACAGGGTTTGAATGGTCAGATGATTTTTCTAAAATTACAGGGTTATGATTTAAATTCAGGTTTTACTAACCTTAAAATACTCTTTTGATAAAGTCATAAGTTTTAACTCATTAGAAAATGAAATAAATACATTCAAAGGCAGAATTTCAATTTAGCCTCGTTGTTTTGCTGTGTGCTGTTGAGTAGGTTGCCTCTTGCCCATGTGCTAAACCACTCCCAGTCGTCATTATGTTCAAGCCTGTTGTGGCAGCCACTGTTTCAATCCATAAATGAACCTTTACTGGATGGAATTAGGCTTCACAGGAGGGCCCCCCAAAATACTTTGTGTTTTATCAAATTCATCACCCATTGAACTATTGTGAAATATATAAAACTGATGAAATTGCTGCATGGATTCCACAGAATGTTTAAATCTTCCCTGTTTTGTAGAAATGATTTGATCATTTTGTGCATCCTAAAGCATCTGATGCAGTTTTACTCCCCTAGGTAGGCATTGATCATTGCTGTAACTGGGTTAATATGAGGAAGTAGACAGTGATTTTGTTTCACTGAGCAATATCTGTCTTATCCTGCTGACATTGACTCCTAATGAGGTGATGTGGACGTTGTGGTTGGCTGCTCTGATTTGTAAAGAGGAGTGAGGGAAGGCGAGTTGTTGCGGATTATAAATTGATGCACAAGTGGGGATGACATCATGCTTCTTCCCTCTTGCCTTGCTGGCCTCCTGCCTGAGATGGGTTTTGCTTGAAGACCCAGAGCTGGAGCTTGCCCCAAGTGTCAGTATGCATAGCTGCTTTAATAGAATTCTTTAGATTATAGCAATCTGTCAGTAATTCAGACTTCTGGAGGGGAAAGAAGTAATTCTCTGTATAAAACGACTTTTGGATTTTTAGATATGCATAATAGACCCACTTACAGGCTGTTAAATCATGATACAAAGTTGTGGTCTGACTCAGTGACCAGTGAGACCATGACATTTCACCTTGTATATCCCATTCAATAAATTTAGGATTGGAATTTTGTGTATGAGAGATAAAGGCTGATTCATCTTATCTTGGGATAACTTGTACTCATGTTCCTCCTTAAGAATCATAATCTTAGAACTAAGGGGACTATAGAGATTAATTGCATCTTTTTAATATCTGACACATAATTCTTCTGTGGAGTCAAACTAGAAATGTCTGTACACATGGTGGAG